GCACGTCTTCATGGTTGGGTGTCGTTCTAACTTGAGGCTCTTTGTCTCAATCACATTGGGCCAAGATTGGTAGTGTCGAACACGAGGAGAGAGACTTGTCTCAGGTTGACACGGCGTCGAGTGTGGTTCGGATGACGTTAGGTGTGAGAAATTTGGAAGGTCTTTGACTTGATGACATCGGTCCTAAAGCATGGCCAAGCCAGAGCTTTCTACCTAAGTGACAATGAGTGTCAATATGGCAACGTCGGGCATGAGCTAGGTAGAGACTCTCTGCTTAGAATGGGTCAAGGTGGTACTTTATCACAACAGGCGTGAGATCTTAGGGGCCTCTGCTTTAGCCACATCAAACACGAGTTATGTAGTGTCAAGTGTGGACGAGATAAAGAGTTCCTTACTTATATGACGCTAGGTGCTAGGTGTAGCACCGAGCTCTGATAGTTGTAGAAAAGTTGTTGATGATGTATATGATGAATTGTTGAATTACTTGTTGTTTAAGTTGTATGTTGACTATATAGGGATGGATATGTTGCATTGATGTTGTTGTATGTATTGATTTCGTTGTCAGTTGTTAGTTGGAAGATGAAATGAGTTGTAAGTTGTGCAGTTGGATAGACATGTGAATATTTCTATATGCATGACGTTATTGTGTTAATGAGATGATGAATGTTGAAAATGCTTCAGACATTTAGACATTGTGTTGTTGAACTATGATGACCAACCTAGGACCAAAGGAGAAATTTTCAAAAGTTGTATATTTCATTATGTAGATACTATGTTGTGGTATTCCAAAAGCCTAATTTGTTAAAAACCCTTCTTAGGGAGTTGACCCTTAAAGTGGATAGTTGTATTGATTCTCCTCTAAGACTTTGTTGGTACGATGTGTGGGCAAGGTCAAGGCACACATGTTTGAAGTAACCACAGTATAGAAACTAGGTCGAGTTATACTGATTACAAGTTACAAATTGAGTAATTACAGAGTTGGGAACTTAGTTCCTAGCCAAGTATCAGAAGGGCGTGGTATTTGGAACGTAGTCGATGGGGTAATCTCATAGGAGGCTTAGTTAAGCTAGTTAATGTCGTGATAGGCTCATACCTAGTTGTTCTACCTTGTTAGTAGTACTAAACTTCCTTGTTTAAATGACGACACCTAAGAAATGAGTTGTTGTGTTGTGAATTTATATCTAATTTGTTGATCTAACAAGCCTAAAAAGATCACCATGTATTGTTAATTTAGTAAAATCAAATTACTTAAACTACTCAACCTGTGTTGTAGGAGATCTTTAAGTTAAAATGCGTGACGACACATGCAGTTACTATGTTGAAAATACCGTGTTGCTGTGATGACTAATCTGTGTTGAGAATGTGGTGATGCTGAGTTGATATTATGTTGTGATAAACTGAGTTGTTGTGCTGATATGTATTGTATACTGTGACATTATGTGTTGTTAGTGTTGGAAATGATGATGTTAAAGACAACCTAACTCTCAGGGTCATTTGACCACTAGAGTTCTCAAATAACAACACTATCAACCACATAAAAAAACTAATCATACAATTAATCATATTATTAAATTAAAACATCCTAAAACATGCAGTATTACATCACATTTTTTTAGTAATCATGTTCTTGGTACAAAATATCACCGACTTTGCGTGTGACTAACTAATCATATTATCTTTATTAATAGTATAGATGGGCAATCGCAGAGGCAGATTGTCCTTTTGAAAGGGGCCAAAACTATTTTTTTTTTGAAAGACTATAAAATATTTTTTTATATACAGATTTTAAAGAGATCTACAAATTTTGGTGGGACCATGACACTGCTGATCCCCCCTAGTTTCATCCTTATAGATGAGAATATTATAATTCTTTAAAATAAAATTTAACATTTCACTTGTTATCATTCACGTAACTTAAAATATCATACAAGTTAATATAAAATTTGAATAGAATAATCTAACTATATAACTATATTTAGAGTTAACTATATTTTAATCTCTCATATTTATAATAAATTTATTTTTAATATCTCAAATTTAAAATTGGTCTTTTTAGTCAGAAAAAAAAACTTCTTTTAATCCTTATGATCAAATTTTGCTAGTGATTACATGAAATATTGTCGCACAAAATTCACCTACAAGTATCATTATTAGTGAAAATATCACATTAAATTCAGTTGATATTACATAATTATCTTATTTTGTTACTATCTGATATGTTACTTGTGATATGAGAGATTAAAATAATATTTTTTAAAATTATATGGATTAAAAATATATTTAAGTTGTATTTTAAATTGTTATTCAATTCATAATAATTTTTTTAAATTTTTACCAATAAAAATATTACAATAATGAAAATGAGGATCAAACATAGATTTTCATGTATCTACATAAGGATGTAAATGAGGTAGGGTCGGTGAGGGTAGTAATCTCTTACTTTCTGTCCCATTTAATGTGAGTATCCATTTAATAGGTACCCATTTATATATCTATGATTACCTGTGAATATTTGTTAAGATGTAAAGTTAAATAAAAAGATAAAAAATAAAATAATCAATTTAGGAGACATATTTGTATTAAAAATATTTTTATAACATATATTTGGACTAAATAATAATTATGACATATATAATCAATTAAATCAAATTACTTTATATATTATTAATAATATTTTTAAGATGTGAGTATGAGTTCCTTATTATATATCTTTATTCCATTCTTAAATTAATACCTATTTAATTATCTATTTATAACTCATGACGAGTTTTATATACAAGCATTTACGGTACATATTTTTTGTCATCCCTACATCTACCGATGTCTCTCTACAACGTCAATCCTAATAACTTATTTGTTAATTTTCATAATTATTATTTTAAAAGTTATAACTAAAATACTTTTAATAAGCTAAAAATGCAAAAATCTTTACCATAACAATGCATGAACAATAAATTTATAAATATATGTTATTTTTTTTATTTAAGTATCTTTGCATTTTTTAAGTATAAGACTAATATTTTAGGACTAAAAAATTATTTTTTTTAATCAATAACAAAAATCATATCGGTGACAATGAAAATAAAATGTAAATTCTCATGTATATATCTCAACTTTTATTATTAAACAACTTTAGAGAAGCATATATTATTATGAGATGAAACAATTAAATAATAATTTTTAGATTATAAATAAAATATTAATGATTAAAATTAAATTTTAATTGTAAATATCCATCATATGATATCATTATTATTATACACAATTATTATCATTTGTCATTATTACATTACATTTGCTACCACCAATACCATTATTGTCACTATAATCCATAGTTTTAAAAACCGGACCGGTCATCGAACCGGTTAAGGTACTGGGTCAGTGGGTCAAAGGTTGAACCGGTGGGTCACTAGTTGAACCGCATGACTCGATTTTTATTAAAAAATATTTATATTAAATATATTTTATACTTATAAATTTTAATAAATTCATATCTTATTTTAAATTTCAATTTTTCTATCTTATTTAAAATTATTTTTATTTTTATTTTGTAAAAAAATACATAAAAAAATTACATGTTAAACGGTATATTAATACAAATTAAAAATATAAATAATATGTACATATATAATATGCTTGCAATTAATATCACAAAATAATATATGTAATATTTACATAGATATTGCATTATTAAATATATAATTTAAAATTAATAATATACTATAAAAGTTATTTAAGTTGTATATATTGCAAACAAATATATTAGAACAAGTAGTCATTGTTATATTTAATAAGACTCCTTGCTTTTTCATTAAGAGATTCAATTTTCATTATTATTTTTGTGATTTATAGTCCCTTAAAATTTTTTAAAAAAAATAAGAAAAAAAAGTGGTTGAACCGGTTTGACCCACCGGTTCACCGGTTGAACCGGAAAATTGACCGGTTCAATCCGGTTTGAAACGGGTCGATTGCATAACCGATCCAACTTCAGATTCGAACCGGCTGAACCACCGGTTCCCGGTCCAACCGGTCCGACCGGCCGGGTCGGTCCGAGTTTTAAAACACTGCTATAATCACTATCATTTTTATCTAACACTATTGTCAAAATTGTGAATATTATTGTCACAATTAATAATGATGGAAGGTAGTAGTTATAAAGATAATAATAATAAAGATATCGTATTGTATATTTATAATTGTATTTTAATTTAAACCATTCATTTTTTTATTTATAATTTAAAATCTATTATTTAATCTCTCACCTCTCATAATAAAACTTGTTTTCATTAAATATATTTTATATATAAAATTATATTCAATAAAAATATGTCTTATGATAAATGAGAGAGTGAAATAACAATCTTTAATTGGTGTAGTTTTTTAATTATAAATAAAAATAATTATTTGTTCATTTTAAAAGTTTATTATTAAGAGTGGTCTTTATAACTATTAACATCATGTTGTCATCTCACGAGAATTATGATGATAATAATGAAAATTGCATTGACAGTAGTATTGGTGTTGCATTTATTCAAAACTATTTATTGAATAAAAAATCAAATTTAGAATGCGAAGGCTCTCCGGAATACATCGAGAGTAACATTACATTAAAAAAAAAGGAAGTTCCTTTTAATTGTTTTTTGCAACAAACAAAACTAGTTATTATCGCATGCATGTGGAAAAATGGTAGCATATTTTACATTTTGCATTATTCCTGTCAGACACGTCATCCACTTTGGACAAATACAAGTCAGAAATCCCGCAAAGATAAAAGTAAAACCTTGTGTGTACTTGTTACTCCTTTATGAAAAATCAAACATGCCCTTCCAAAATTAAACACAAAACAAAAGGAAAATTAAAAAAAATATTGGGTCCTTGAGATGACAATGATGTGAAGTGGGGCTATCTTGGTCAGTTTCTGCTTCACAAAGCAGCAGAGGACTCTTTTTTTTTTTTATTATTTATTTTTCCCCTTTATTTTTTTTATAATTTTATTTTTATTTGGGAATAACACAATAAAAAATTCTCCGGATTCCTCAGCCAATGTTCCGACGTGCTCTCCTCTCCCTCTCTTCTCCACTCTCCAACTGTACATGTTCCACAACTTGATCTGTCTTTTTCCTCTTCTTTGGTCAAAATTCCATCACCTAACCGTTTTGGTGTGTGCTGTAGTGAAGGGTCATCACACAGTGTGTTTTCTTTGACATTTGGTTTCAAATGGGAACTGGGTTTTCAAACTTTCTCTTTCCATAGTTATCCCTCTTCAGCACTATAATAGCACCGGGAAACTTGTTCAAAAGGACTACCAGGTTGGTTTTTGCGTACCCACTATCCTGTTTCTTATCTTAACTGCTTAAAGTTAGCAACTTGGTTTTTGGGAGCTGTTGGGAGAAGAGTTAATCGATTGAGCTTTGAAAAGTAACCACCTTCACTTACCCATGTTTGCTTCCTTATTGTTTTGAACTTGTTTGTTGGAAATTTGGCAACTTTTGATGTTTTTAAGGACTGGGTCGGGTTTGCTTTCTGAGGGTTTAATTGTTTAGATTTTAGTACAATGTGAGTGTTGGTGAAGATTCAGCAAAAACTCTGGAATTTTGCTTTTTAGTTTGGTTTTTTGTCTTCTGTGGTTTCAAAATTGTCTCAGAGAAGTGTATTTTATATGGATGCTGATATACACAACTATGCTTTGTGGGATAATCAGCTTTTGGTATCATATTAGTTGTCAGCGAAGAGACTGTCTCCTTCTTTATCTGTCTTCTTAACTTGGGTTGCTGTCATTGTTTATTTTATCAAGGGCTTTTAGCTTTCACTGTCTTGGTCTAAAAGGTGGTGTTGATTTTGGTGTTGATCTGTTTTTCTTTTTTCTTTGGCAACGCCTTTCTTTTTAACCTTCTTCACTCTCGCAACTTGACTTTGAATTTGCTATCATTTTTATTTTGAAACTTTTACTTTTGTGGATTAGGTGGCCCTTCTTCCTTTACTTTCATTCATGGGGAAGATCACAACTTCTGCAGCTCAGCCTGTGTCTCAAGAAGCTTCCAATTATGATGAGGTTTTTATGCAACAGAGCTTGCTCTTTGATGATAGTCTGAAGGTACTTATGATCTTGTACTTGGTGTTTAGTTCGGGATATCGATTTCGTTATAGATTATAAACTCTTGATTCAAGAGCCTTGCATTCACTTAATATCATTGCTTAATGCATCTGTGGCTTTAATTTATAATAGAATTCTTAATTAAGTGAGCTCTATTATAGATGTTTTTTACTATTTGTTTTAATTTTTTTTATCACTGTTTGTAGGATTTGAAAAACCTGAGAACACAATTGTATTCAGCAGCTGAATATTTTGAACTCTCATACACCAACGATGACCAAAAACAAATGTCAGTTGTTATGCCAGAGCTGGTTTATATTTTGCTGATTCTGTCATATTCATATCCTTAATATCCCCCTCTTTATTGTTGCTTTCTCTATCTTATGTTTGCAGAGTGGTAGAAACATTGAAGGATTATGCCATCAAAGCTCTTGTAAATACGGTGGACCATTTAGGTTCTGTGACCTACAAAGTTAATGATTTGTTGGATGAGAAGGTTGTTGAAGTTTCTGTAGCGGAGTTACAAGTGTCTTGTATTGAACAGGTATACCTAATCATCTCCATTCAGCTTCAAGTAAAGAAATTCCACCAAAGCAATGCTGAAAGTAATTACTAAGATGAAACATTGATACCACTATCATATATTGAAATGAACACATGACTTGTTAATGACATATTTTCTTGAGATATGAAAAGTTATCTTTATTGCTTGTGATGCCGAGAATCAACATTGTGAAGGCTTGCCAAAAAGCATTTCATGTATAGGTCTTTTTTCATTGATAGACTCCAGGACATTTATAAGATATCCAGTTATCTAAATGTTCCTACAGCTTAGTGCTTAGTGTTGTATTCATTAGAGAAATTTTTTCCTAGAGTTATCAGCATATATGCTATTTAGAGACCTTTTCATTCAATTATCCAGAAAAAAAGAATGGAGAGCGCGATTTCTGCAGTCATAGAACAGTTTTAGGTCTTAAATAAGAAACTCTCAAGAAGTTTTGTTTGCTACCGTTTAATTTTATCATGAATTCACGGTAGTATTATGAAATGAACTTGATAGGTGTTTAATTTGCTAAAAAAGAAAGCAAAAGACAGCCCAAAAAATATTTGTTTCATGTTTCATTTTAAAAATGGTTATGGGACAAAACAAAACAATAGATGAAGTGCAGGACAAAGGTATAACCCAGCTTTTGTTACTCAATAAATCAGTTCATAACATTTCATGTACAACATCATGTAAAAGTAAAAATTATCCACTATTTTAGCTAAGTCTCATCAACAGTTCAATACCATTGAAGAACAACCATTGGCCTAATTGGATTGTACCCAGCACAACCCCTTCCCCCACCATCAAAACTTCATGTGTTGTACATCAACCACTAAACACCACACAAAACAAGTTATGCTATAACCCAGCTTCTTGTACAATGTTACGTTCTTGTTCTTTTTCAAATAGCAAGTACAATAACAACTGGGAGGGTAATATGGTTTTATTAGATCATATAATGGTAGTTGGTAAATGTACATTTGGACAACTGTATCTGGCAAAAGTATAATTATTGGAATATGAAAGAACAATGGAACTTTCATTCGTAGTTATTGTGGCTGGCTGCTGATATTGATGATCAAAAGAATTATTTGTATTTTATTCACAAATTTTGAAACAAAGGCTTGCTTTGACAATACCCTGGTATTTGTGGTGGCTGTTTAAAATACCATGCCCCATTCAATTTTAAGCAGAATTTTGCATCTGCAGCTGTGGCTTTAACCGCTGTCTCGTGTTGATGTTATTCATGTTTGAATTATCATATTAGGGAAGAGAAATTTTATGAAGATCACTAACATTGTGTTTCGTTAATGTGGTACACTAGAGAATAAAGACGTGCCAAGAGTATGTGGATCATGAAGGGCGTACCCAACAGTCATTGGTGATCAGTACTCCAAAATATCATAAGCGATATATCTTGCCAGGCAAATATCATGCATTTTCCTCTACTCTTTCTTTTTGTAGTTCTGCTTTCTTTTTCCATTTCTATTATATTTTGTTCTTGTTGCCACTAAAAAGTATGTTATGATGTTGAATGATCACGTTTCTTAAATTCATAAATTCAGTTGGGGAGACCATGCATGGTGCCAATCGCACTAAGTCAAAATATCAGGGGTACAACCTAGATGATGAAGATGACTGGCCTCACTTTAGGAATGGTATCACTTTCTATACTAATATTTTAATTCCACCTATCTAGGGATTAACCATAGAATGTAAGCTTATATTCCCTTTATTATGTTTATATCAAAGCTGTTCGAGCTACAATTAGAGAAACGCCACCATCTACAGCAAGGTAACTACAAACACTGCATATTATTATAGGATTAAGTTGGTCATTGTCTCAACGAGGGTCTTGATCTAGTTCTTTATTTTGATGCAGAAGAGGGCGTTCCCCATCACCTTCTTTACAACCTCAGAGATCTGGACCTTTTTCATTCACTTCAACCATGCCTATAAAAGATTTAGGTATTATGCACATAGTATAATATGATATCTCGAGTTTATTTGGTTAATACTTAATATTGATGCCTTATATTCCTGTCATTTTCACTTGAAAAATGAAGATATAGTTCTCATTATGTTTGAATTTACACAATCTTGTTGCATGTACTGAAGAGAGGCGATCTGTTTCACCATACCGGTTCCCCCTTTTACGAACCGGATCTCGGTCAAGTAGGCCTACAACACCTAAGACAAGTAGACCAACCACTCCAAATCCAAGTAGACCCACTACACCAAATCCTTCTAATGCAAGACAAAGGGTGAGTACTGAGTAACATGAATCATATTGTATGTTTAGCATATCACCAATAAAATCTATAGGTTTCTTAACTGCATCTCCATTTATGCTTCCACCAGTACCCTTCAGAGCCCCGCAAATCGTCTTCGATGCGATTATATGCTGAAAGAGACAATGGCAAAGACGTGGAACAATACCCCAGCAAAAGTAAACGTCTCCTAAAGGCCTTGCTAAGCAGGCGCAAGTCAAAGAAGGATGACACGCTATATACATACTTGGACGAGTACTGATACCATAGACCTATATAGAAAGCAAGGGAAAGATGCAATAGAATCTTGGAAACAAGTCAATTTTGCTTGCTACCTTCATAGGTTGCACTTCTTTGTCATTTAAAAATAACATTTATACGGTAACTTCCTTTATCCATTTTTCAATTAGTGTAACTAAGCACCCAGAATTATGATGTGGGATAGGTGTAATAGTTCAAGCTTTATTTTTAACTATGAATGTTGTTACATATTATATAATCAAGTAAATTTGGCTTCATCTCTCTCCTCTTTTTGTAGCAATAAGAAATTCAAGGTGTCTGATCCACGAATTAAACTTTGTTTAAGCTGTTTGATTGTTCTTGAACCCTCCAATTCTTTTCGTCATAATGTCTTGGATTTGTAGTCATTGATCTAGAATGTGTAATGTCTGAGGATTTCCATAGGCAGGAAAGTTAGGGTCAATTATTTTCACTGACCAACTAATCTTGGGTATGTTAAATGCAATTTAATGGTTTTACATGTTTTCTGGCTCTTGCATATCATTAAAAAAAAGAAAAAATGTCGATATGTCCTTGTCAATGCTCATAATTTCTTGCACCTAAAGTGGATGTGCATCAATTTGGATTTGAAGTTGCAGCCAACTACTTAAAACCTACTGTCATTTTCCTTCTAAATAAATGCATCGACAAGCTATCGTTATTTTCAAATAATGTTTGTACCAAACATTGTTTGACAGATTTAATTTAGCCCAACTGATAGGAGAAGATGAATTTAAAGTGTTTTTTTGGGCATAATAACAGTTTATAACTTGGATTCAATACATCCATTGTCAGTCAGTTACAATGCTTTTGAGGTTGTTTAGGATGCTTCTTTGCACTCCACTATTTCTCATCGCAAACACCTATTTCTAATTTTATTGTTCATGGTCAAAACTGCTTTCTTCTTGATTAAAAATACTTTTTGGGACCTACATTGCTTGAATCCCAGCGCAAGGATGGAATGAGATTCTTCCTAATCATTAGTTCTGCTATTGAAGGATATTTTTATAAGTTTTTTATTTTTAAATTTCTTTCAATTTTCTAACCTTTCATTCATTTGATCTATATATATATATATGTCTCTATTAAAGATAAAATAAAAATTAAGTAATAAATGTATGTTGATATAGTGTTATGATTAGTTCATTAATTTTAAGTTGATTTTGATAAAAAAATATTATTTTTTTAATTTTTTAAAATGAAAGGGTATAATGGTCAACAAAATGTGGAGATCAAGATGATTATTAAAAGGAGTATCTCTCTTATATATATATATATACTAGAGAGTCCAATCATTTCTAATAGTTACACATAGATATTAGAAGCTATGGATAATTATTCACAAATATATAAGAAGATTTTTTTTTTTTTACAATAAAAGGGTATAATGGTTCACTAAAAAATAGAGATCAAAAAGGTGATTATTAAAATATATCTCCTTTATAATAATTATATATATATGTGTGTGTGTGTGTGTGGTTGAGGTGCTTCACATTTTTATATATATTAAATTGAAAGATGATTATTTTCCTAGAGAGGTCTCGTAAAGCAAGATGTTATCGATTTGTTTACATAATAATAAGTTGAGATGTAGTCGATTATCGAGTAGTAATCTATGAGACCGAGAAATATTTGGCCTAGCACAACTTCTTTACAAAGAGTAACACTTAATCATTACATAACAATAAAGATCCTTGAATATACTTAATGACCATATCATAACATTCCTTTACCCGTAAATATTAAGGGTGACAAAACAGGCTAGCTCGTCCCGTTTTGCCCGACTTGCCAATGTCCTGCCAAAAACGGGTCAGGCCGGACTGACTCGCTAATGAAAACGGGTTGAGAACGCTGGCCCGCCTCGCCTAAGGACAGGTTGGCGAGTCAGCCTGCATACTACAAAAAAATTACAAAAAAAATTAAAAAAAATATATTTTATGTTCAAATAAAAAAATTACTACAAATAAATAAATATAACCATATAAAATTAAAAATGCATACATATTGTACATAATATATGTTCAACAAAAGCAAATTATAAACTTAGAACAAAATCAAATAGAAATTAGTCCACTTACACCAAAATCAAAACCAAATTATAAACTTATAAATTTTAATTATCTAAATTTTTTGATAGTCCACAAAATAAGTCCATTACTCATGCAAACAACTTAAACCCAAATACTTATGCGGGTTGGCAGGTTGTGACGGGCCAGCCCGCCTTTCGGCTCGACGGGTTGGTGAGTTTGGCGAGATGACAGGTTGAAATGATGGGTCTGGCCCGCCAATTTTTAGCGAGCCAACGGGCCGGCCGCAGGTCACAGCCCACTTTGCCATCCCTAGTAAATATAGGTGCATCAGACATTCATGGGTTCCTAAACATATATACCATATACTCTATCACTCTAATTGTTTGCTAACTTTAGCACTAGAATCCCTTTTGCAAGTATAAACCACTTGATATCTAGATGTTGAGAATCAAAAACCTTCAATTGAATACTTGTTGCATCCATTTGAATCGAATACCTTCAATCGAATACTTCTTGCATCTATATTTTTTTTGGTAAGAACTGTTATAATTATAATTATATATATATATATATATATATATTATAATAGATAAAGTCGATACAATATTTTTATATACATATTTCATTATATCTTTTTTCATCCTTTTTATCACACTATCTTTTTTAATAGATAAAGATTAATGTGTGTAGTGAATTTTTTTTCCGTGAATTTTTTTTCCGTGTGTAATAGAGGTTGGAGGGAGTAGTAGAATAATTTAATATTAATTAATATAAAAGATAGTGTGATAAAAAGGATGAAAAAAGATATAATGAAATATGTATACAAAAATATTGTAAAATAATTAGAAACTGAAAACACATTATTTTTAATGAATTAAAATAACATTATTATTTTATGATATATTGGTCTTGAATAGAGAAAAATCAAAGGTATCTATTAATAATATATTTTTTTTATTAATTAATATACTATTTAATGTCAGTATTTTTTTACTTGTTAATTCTACTGTATTTAATAGAATGTACTTGAGAAAAGTTAAAAGAAAATGCACACACCTGTACTGAAAATAAATTTTTAATTAGAAGAATGGGTGCGGAAAGAATCAAAATTTTACTGCTAAATTGGAGATTATATTAGATTCTTACACCATGTCATCAATTTACAATTCCAAAAACTTAAGCTATTGGATAAAGATACGTTAGTGATGTTTATAATGCATGATTCGCATCTTTAACACTCCCGCCAGAGAAAAAGGAACCCAATTTAACTTTAATAATCTATACGCCTTCAAAAGAATTAGATTCCGACCGGTTGAGAATATCCATAGTGTGAAAAAATAAAAACAAGAAACCTATCATTTAACTTTGTTGGGTTGCAACTACATCATTGAATTGATTCAAAAACTAGTTGAGAAGGCTAAAGTTACATATGCATGTACAATGAAAGCATTCTCGTCATATCCACAATTCATTTCAATGTCACTGTAATTGTCATTTCAGTTATGCAATCAATTTTGTTCTAACCAATTTCCCCATATAAAGGAAAGTTTTCAAAGCAAGATCTCTCAAGATAGTGAATAATCTGACAAACATGGACATTAGAGACTCATGGCAACATGGGGCAAACTTTTTAAGTACCCCATTAGAATTTATGATGTGTATTGGTAGTATTATATAATTTAATACTACTAGTGATGATGTGAGTTAAAGATCAGGGCAGAAGGCAAAGTTCAAGTTAAGAGAAGGCAAAGACAAGTCTCAGAGCACAAAAATAAAAGTAAAGGACTACTTATGCAAATGCAATAATAGGATTGGAAAAAAGGAAGATTGAAATCAAAACCCAGATGGTCAAGCCTAACAATAATAAAAGTAGAGTTAAAGGAGAATAGAAAGCTTAAGGGTGAAAAGATACAAAGTGGGAGAGAGATTAACCGATAAGATACATAGTGGGAGAGAGATTAATCGATAGAACATTTTGTTGGAATACAAATAAGATTTTACGTCGATAAAATAATAGAATAAATGACGGTTTATAAAATACACACATACTCCAATGATTGAAAGGTCTTTTGAATGATAACCAAAAACAAAATTCTAGGGAGTTAGATTCAAAATAGACAATATCTCACTATTGTGTAACTGTGTGAAATAATCTTATAAAAAAAATTAGGTTATAACTCTCATCTGATATGAAAATGATAACCATCTAGATCTAAGTGTCTAACATTGCAACAAGTTCATTGATGATAACCAAAATCAAAATTGTGAAAGGTTAGGTTTAAAACGAATAATATCTCACCATTGTGAAGTTATGTATAAAATAATCTTATAAAAATAACAAATTTATAACTCACTTTTTTAGATATAAAATATGCTCTCAGACAAATATTGACAAAATAACCCAACACATTTGATATGGAAATGACAACCATCTTAGACTTATGTACCTAAAACACTGCAAAAAGTTCATTTGATATTTAAAGCAAACATTTAAGAAATTTTCTTTTGGATGATAACCAACAACAAAATCATGAAAGGTTAAATTCAAAGTGAATAATATCTCATCATTGTAGAATTGTGTATAAAATAATCTTATAAAAATAACAATTATAACTCTCTCCTCTATATAGAAAATACATCTTCAGACAAAATACTGACTTTCTATGTATCTTCAGACAAATATCGACAAAATAACCCAACACATTTGATATGGAAATGACAACCATCTCAAACCTAGGTACCTAAAACTAAAATATTGCAACAAGTACATTTGATATTTAAAGCAAACATTTGAGAAATCTACTTTTGGATGATAACCAAAAACAAAACTGTGAAATGTTAGATTCAAAATATACAATATCTTACTATATAAAATGTCCTCAGATAAATACCAACAAAATAACCCCAATACATCTGATATGTATATGACAATCATCTCGTACCTGCGTGCTTAAAACACTTAAACAAGTTCATTTGATATTTAAAACAAACATTTGTGAAATCTACCAAACATTTTTTCTGCACTACAATAGCAACTAAACCTTTTCTCACTAGGTGGATCTTTATAAACTATATGTTCTTAAATATATACAACTAATGGTCTCAAATGTATGAGGAATATTTACATATGATGGTAATGGAAACATGGATAACATCACATATACACTTCTGTGAATCTTATCAGCACAAGAGAACTCCAATTCCAGAAAAGCATAGCAGAAGCACTTGATTAATGTTAGTCAATGTCCAAACCAAGACGTCCTTTATAAGGGTGGAAACATCCATCCCATGGTCCAACCAAGAAGCAAACCAGCACCAGCAAGGCCTAAACCCAATGCAAAAGCAACAACACACTTTGTAATCCCACATTTTCTGTTACTATTCTTCCTCTTCCCACTTCTGTGACTCTTCTTAAGCAGCATTCCCCTGTATGGGGCCCAGGGTAAGGGTGCTGGAAAGAGGTTTATCAATGACTGGTTTTTGTTTCTGAGTTGCAGGCAGAGGTTCTCGAGCTGCAGCATGTGGAGCCACTGTTTGTAAGCAAAGAGTTGCGAAGCTTGTCGAAAAAAGAGACTCACGATGTGCTCCTTCTCGCTGAAAGCTTGCTGTGCTGCTTTCTCAGCCTCTCTTGCTCTTGTTTGAGAGTGACACAAAGCTTTCAACAGCTCAGACATGCTACTACTGTTCTCAGAGTTCATTTGACAACTTTTGTTGCTAGAACTAAAATCTGTGCTCTGGCTGGAACTGAACATATGGAGCAAAGTTTGTTAATAAATTGATCATAGAATAATCATGAAACTTCTCAACTCACCAGTATAAAAGTTGTAAAACTTTTTTTTTTCCTAAAACAGTCACCACTCACCAATTAAGTTGGAATGCATTCAAAATTCCTTCTTATTTAAAAATTTGTTTCACGAGTCAGGAGTTCAATATATCCAGTACAGAAATTAAAATCTATAATTGTATCTTAAATTTCCAAGAACACGAAGCATCTGTGCAACTACAAAATTATAAACAATTTATGACTTCAATATAACTAATGTTTGCAAGCCATATACATGTCTAAAATATCACAGAATCTATACACTATCTAAGACAATGACATATAAAATGCAACGTAGATGCAGGTTTGTAACTGAAGCTAGGGTGATGTCAAAGGTTCAAAATCAGCTAGTGCATGTGAATGACTAAGCAGATCTTGTAAAAAGATGAAGAAAAAAAAGGTGGATTTCAAGGTCAGAAGGAAAAACATATTTGTCAAGGGGTTGAACTGTTGAAGCATAGCTTAAAAAGAGAGTAGAAAAAACGTCAATGTTTTTTTATGGTTAATTAAATTCAAAATCATAAATGATTTGATTTCATGCACGCTTTGGTAGCTCTATACATTTGTACAACTTAGTAGCTTATCAGCTACAAAAGCAGGTTTAAATTCAGTTAAACATGTACGTCATCAAATTCCCTGTTAGCATGAGATAGATAACTAAAAGCACTTTTAAATTGGTAAGGGCAAGTAGTCAGAGCCAAAAATCTGTCTAAATAAAATAATTTTTGAAACCTGTCCAAAACTCCAAATTAGAAATTATGAGAAGTTATCGTCATAATACTTGAAGATCAATATCTCGTTTGGGTTTAAAATGGAATAATGGATGTATTAAAATCTGAGATATAAAAAAAATTGTACTATCTCATGAAAATTGTGAGGTTTGCCACCAATAACTACTACCTTCAGTCTCCAATAAATAGCATAGGAAAGAGCATACATCAAATTTCTTCCAAAATAAGTTGACCATGATGGAAAATATTCCAGAAAACAATTAAAAAAGAATTGTAAAGTATCCCTCTACAGCATTACCTGGAATTCTTGTTTGAATCCTGAAATGAATAGTCAGAAGTGGATATTCCAGTTGTATAACCATCTGCATTGGAAGAACCAGACTCAGTTTTATGGTTCAAAGATGATGGTGGAGCCTTATCATGGTTAACACCCTTTGTGTAAGGGGGTTTCTGTCTAACATGCTTAGTCAGGGGATGAGGGAGATCACAATTCTCAATATGCTCAAGTGACTTCTGAGCAACCAAGGAAGCTAACTCATCTCTTCCAGCAGTGCGCCACCAAGGACCAGATTTCTCTTCTCCCATCAGATGTGATTCTAGATCAGAAGATGCCATTTTACCTTGTTCAGAGACCCAGAAACTGGAAATATCACAATCCATAAAATGACTGTCTGAAAAACATAACTCCTCTTGATCTTTCTTCTTACAAGTAAAATGTAAATCAGCATTGAGTGAAGCCTCAATTTTTGGCATTCTTGTATTGTTGTTTTTCAAACACGTAGGAGACACATGCCAAGGCTGCTCCTTAGCACTTTCAACATTAGAAAGAGCATCAAAGTCTTTGGCCAGTTTATCTCCCCCACTCTTGACACTGCCATTTAGAAATTCAGCATACAAGGCATCATCAAGTTCAGACTCGCAAGAATTCAGATGCTGACATGTATAATTTGCTTCCTCCCCCAAGTCACTTTTCACATGCAGCCACCACTTCATTTCCGGTACCTTGTCAGAATTCAGATATTCATGAATAGAATTACTAGGAACCCAATCAGATACTAATTTTTTTGAAACTGATTTCGGATGATCAGGTGAATTGAGGGGTATCCGGAAATCTTGAGTAAAACAATTAGCTGTATAAGGAGCCTTCCCTTCTGCTGACGCCATTACTTCTTGGTCTCTGAGTAATTAGTAATTACCTATTTTAAGAAGCAACTTTCTATGGATCTGGCATCTGTTGAATCAGTAAGACACAAACTCAAATCACAATGAAATGTTAAGAAGTAAATACTAAACACTACAAAAAGACCAAGAAACCACAAATCTTCAAATTTGACAGTACAAAGGTTGTTGAGGTTGAGCCAAAAAGCAGCAACATGATTCGACAAATGAACTAGATTGAGACGTGGGATCATAGAGAAGCAAGGAAGGACAGGAATATTCAATTAACTGATTAAAGGACACACACACAGAGATTGAGAGAGAGAGAGAGAGAGACTGGCCTTGGTTTTGCTTATCATCTGAAGTGAATTTCCTTCCTTCCCTCCTTCCTTCCTTCCTTCTAAGGGCGAAACATGTCAGAGACTTTGCGTGCACAACTGTCCAAGATACTGTGTCTTGGTAGCGGTAATGTAAAAACAAGGTCCTTGTATTGACAACCATGTCACAAAAAGACTATAAATAATTATGTTTCAACCCTTCCTCCTAAATATCTATTTATCTCCTATGTTCCTGTCACAGTCCCATCCCATGCTTTATGAATTATTGTTCCCCCCCTTCCTATTCTAATTCTTTCTCTAAAATGAAATATGCACCTCCTCTCCATAAATTAATTATTTATTTGAAAAAGGTTATATATTAAAAACTTTATTTGATTTCTTATAATATTTTTTTTATTTCAATTTAGTCCTACTTTAATTTTGTTTTAATTTAATTTTTAATAATTTAAATTATTATAATTTGGTATTTCTGTCTAAATGATTTAAACAGAGTTAATTGTTGGCCACGTGAATGTCAGGTAAATGAATGCCAAATTTCTCAAATACACCTGGAACCAGAACGGCTCGTTCTGAAACCAGAACAGCCCGTTCTGGTTACACTGTTAGTGTGTAAATTTGGTATATGGGACGGGCTGTTCTGAATTCAGAACGTCCCGTTCTAACACCAGTTCTGGTTTCAGAATGGTCCGTTCCAATTACAAAATTAACACATAACATATGCATATAAAATGGGCCGTTCTGGTTTCAGAACGGGCCGTTCTGCTTCCAGGTGTATTCATGAAATTTGGCGTCCACCTATGCATCTACGTGGAATTCACCTGACATCCACGTGGCTAACAGTTAACTTCGTTTAAATCATTTAAACAGAAATCTCAAATTGTAATAATTTAAATTATTAAGGACCAAATTGAAACAAAAAATTAAAATAAAACTAAATTAAAATAAAAAAATATTATAAAAACCAAATAAGAGTTTTAAATAAGGTTATATTATAAATTGAGCATAAAATTCATCGAAGTATAAAAAACATAAAACTTATAAATTGTTGAAATGTCGTATAAATTGTTATTATTCTCTTTCGTGTCCAAGTGTCCTAATTCTAGGGAACTTTGTGTCCCTATCGCTCTCAACGAAGTTTGGAGAGTCTGCTTATGGTGACACCTTCGCAGTCGACCTTGTGTGACTCATGACTCAACTTTGCAGCACCTTTTATTAATATTTTCCTTATTTCTTTCTTTCTTTCTGTTTTGGTTTGGATTAATTGGATGGAGAGAAGTGAATGATTTTATTCCCTTTGAAGAAAATGGTGCCACCCACTAATATTTATTCATCTTATTTAATTAGCTATCCGTTTATCCTTATTAAGAAAACTATGCTTAGATTTGCATACAAATTATCCATTTAATTAGTTGCACGTCACTGTCCTATAGGCGATAACTTTGATCCAGAACTTTTCTCCTCATTTAATTGCATTCTATTAAAACAATCATGATTTTGTATGAATTATCTATATCGTAAGAGGTAATAATTAATTTTTATAAAAATTATAAACGTACGTAAAATGAGTATTTTTTTTTTATTTTAAAATAATTTATTATAAACACATGAAATAAATATTTTTTTCTTAAAAATAATTTTTTCATTGTCAAAAAGTCAAGATTCAAATACAAAATCTATTTGCATTTTACAAGTCATTTAATATATCTTTTTCGAACACAAGGAACGGTACAACTTGAGAGTATGGGTCACAGCCTCTCAAAATATCTGTTACACGTTTAATTACGTTTAGATATGAAGTTTTTCTAAGCTCCTTTGAGAATGATTTAAAACATTTTTTTTCTTCATAAAAATATACTAAATCGAACACATACTATTCTAATTTAATCTCCAAACAACACTTTTCTTTCCATGCTCAGAATAGTGTTGAGATCGTCAGGATGATTACCCGATCTAATGAAATCGTGTTTATCCCATGTTTATTTCTTCCCATTCTTTTTCATTTAAGCATATTATTTCCTATTTTGTAGAACAAGAGTAAATTAATGTAGTAAAAAGTAACAGAACCCAAAATTTTCTAATTATTACGAAACTGATATCTCTCATTATTTTAACATGGGAATTTGAATTGGCATCCCCAACCCAACCCCCATGTGAACCTTCAATTAAGGTTGACCAAAAAAATATTTGTATACTTAAAAATTATAATCCATTTTACGGATAAAAGCCACCATAAATATGATATAAATAAATATCTTGTTGATTAACTGAACAGCAATGAATAGTAAGACATTTATATCAACAACTATTAACATTATAAAAATATTTAAATGCTCTATATTGTATACAAAGTAAATTGTTCACATTTAATTTTAGTACATAGCAATAATGAAACTCGAAGGAAGGAATCGACAAGACCACACAAACGGTGGAACATAACTCGATGGAATTGACAAGGGACAGAACAAGCGGTATGTGGTTAAATTTGAAATATATATTTTAAAATTATTTATTTTAAATATAAATATATATTACAAAATTACTTTTTAGTATAAATATGTACTTTAAAAACGTTTATTTATTTATTTATTTATTTTTCACTTTTATTTTACTTTCTACTCTGTTTAAATATGGACGAATAAGAGATGATTCCTATCCATAGCCACCCCGCCACCATTGTAGTCCCTACTTCGGATGTTAATTAAGCTCCTAAAAGAAATAGCAATAAGGCAAACATATCCCTCACTAGAAAGAAACACATGGTAACATTTAGACAAATACCTGAAGCATGAAGGAAGGATAAAGATCACAAACATCATAATCATAAAAATAATGAACCATCTGCTTTAGTAATGAACCATCTGCTTATACTTCTTCCTAAGCACAGACAACCTTCTCTGAAGTGGAAGCTTTTCATCTTTTTTCCCTAGTCTATCCAAGTAGTATACAATTTTATTTAGGGTAACCAAAACCTCCTCACTCTCATGTCCAAATTCTCTCTCTTGGATATTCAGGATCCTTCTAAGCAGCTTCAGTAACTCACTCTCATCCTTATCAAGTCTGATTTGAATGGACACCAAACAGTCCAAAGCCTCCCCTGCCATGCATAATATATGATAAATATCAATTTCATTCCCAAAATAACTTCTTGAAAACTGTTTTATATTTGAGTAAATTACATTGTGGTTTCATGAAATTGTACTGACATTCTCTGTTTTTTTAACGTTTACAGTAGTCTTCCTTACAAGGATCACAGTGTAATGTTAAAAACAAGAAAACAGAAAAAACTCGTTTGATAAGAGTAATTTTTGAAAACTGCTTTTAAAAGTAATCCCTCTTTTTCAGATTTTAAAATAAAAAACAAGAACATCTTTAAGTTGTTTTTCTTTTCTACTTTCAGTTTTCTTTTACTTATATTCTTCTTTACACAAACTCATTTTTTCTGACTCCTCTACTACTATCTAAAAAGTAGTTTTGAAAACTGTTTTACTAAATAGTTTTTAAAAACTGAAAACACCCTTAGGCTCTGTTTTTTTTTTCCTTCGGCATAAGAACTGGATTACTACTCTCATCAGTGAAATGCAACACAATTTAATGGCCTGAATAATGAATGACTTGATCATGTATTAACTTCAGACTGACCATATTATCAACGAGGTAAGGGAAAACTTACCAACGGGAAGAGAATTTTTTCCAAAAGCCTTCTCACGGATGCGCAAAACCTCCAGGGCAAGTTTCTCTGCTTCTTCATCATTTTTCAAATGGTAGAGTGTAACTGCAAGGTGTAACATAGGAAAGCTGATGGACTGGTCATCAGTTCCCTTATGCTTTATCATGATTTGCAAACTTCTTCTCAACAAGTGCTCGGCCTCCGCATAATTCTTTGACCGAGAATATGAAGTTGCAAGATTTATCATGTGTGTCAGTAGGCTGGGGTGCTCCTTTCCTTTGTACCTCTCACTGATCAATAAGCACTCCTCTAATAGCTCTCTGCCTTCTTGTCCTCTTTGAAGAGAAACAATACAAAAAATTCAATTCAATAACCTTCTTTGCTTTTAGTCTAACTTTTTTCTTTATGTTTTCTTCCTTTTCTTTTTTTTTTTTTTGGGGGGGGGGGGGGGGGGGTTGTG